TAGATCTAGATTCCTCCGATTGAAGACCAATATTCTCTCTTTGGGAGACTCTATTCCTCCGATTGGAGATCTTCAATGATTCGTAATCTTTGATTCCCTTTTCTCTCAGTTATCCTTTTAGTTTCGTTTTTCCTCTCTTATCAAATTATGGCCACCAAAATTACCGGCGGCATAGAAGAAGAATTAGGGTTACGGCTGAAGAACATTGAACTTTCCCACACTGAGGGGAAGATTATTGAAATTGCGGATGATGATGTCAGAATTAGCAATGAAGAATGCGAGCGCATCCTTCTGGGGAAGATAGCCGGAGAAAGAGGTGCTAGTCTCTACGGATTAAAGAGAACTCTTGGGCGCATATGGCAGATAACTAAGCCGTTGGAAATACGAGAGCTAGATACAAACTTTTTCCAATTCATATTCGGAAACAAGGAAGACAAAATGAAAGTTCTCTCAGGCACTAACTGGATATATGACAACCAGTACCTAATTCTTCACGATTGGGAGCATGGCCTTAAAGCAGAACATCCTATCTTCAACCAACTTAAGATCTGGGTACAGGTATTTAAAATTCCTTTGAACTGGCTCAGCATGGATGGTGGTCTCAAAATAGGGAAAATCTTTCATGAGGTTCACAATGTCATGGTGATAAAGGGGGGTGGTCCTAGGGGAAATTATCTCAGACTCCTGGTTACAGTTAACCTAGAAGAGCAATTTCCTAGAGGCACCAATATTAAGCTCCACGATCAAGTCATTGGCGCCACCTTTCTCTACGAGAAGCTTGTGAACCTCTGCTACTACTGTGGAAAAGTTGGGCATCTTGACAGAACCTGCTCCAAAAAAATTGCAGACATAAAGAGCTCCAGTCTTAAAGAGGGGCAATTTGGAGACTAGATGAAAGCAACTGATTTTCCACATCCAAACCGAGCAACCAGCTTCCACTCCCAATCTCACAACTCTTCAGAAGGTGGCCAGGAGCCTAACCCCTCAGATCTTAAAAGCTCAAGCTCTATAAAAGAGAGTGCCAATGCACCTGACCTGAACATTGAACCCAATGCAATGCCTATGACCAATATGGGTCTGGTTGTCATGGACATTCAGAAGAACCAAGATAGTGGAAAGGATGAAAATCAAATCACCCCTGAATCATCATCTCAAAATCCTCTCCATGTGAATAGTTGTATTATTGTGGCTGCTGAAGTCACTCATCCTCTAGCTCTGGAATCTGATGGGAAGGAAGTACAAGAGCTGATGGCTATCGAGGCAGCCACTCCCAAACCCCTCTCCATAAAAAAACCACAATCTAAAACCTAGAAGAGATCAGCTCAAACTGCAGGCAGACTGAAAAGGAAAGCTAGAGGATCTGCAATCCAAGAAGATGGAAGTTCCAGTTCTAAAAGGGATAGAGAAGACAACTAAACTTAGCCATAACAGTTACTGAGGAGGAGAAAGAAGCTTCAATTAGGGACCCCAAAAAGTTCAAAAGCTCAGAATCACAGGTGGTGGTGGCCAACCTTATAAGGCCACAAGTTTCCGAATGAAGACAATCCTGTGGAACTGTAGAGGTCTTGGTGGGCCCTCTATAGTATCCCAGGTCAAGGAAGCCATTAGGTTCCATCACCCTACACTGGTTTTCCTATCTGAAACCAGGAAGAATAAAGATTTTACAAAAACAGTGTGTTCTAAACTGGGATTTGAGAATAGATGGCTGGTCAGTGAGCCCAATGGTCAGAGTAGGGGACTTTTACTACTCTGGTCTAAGAAGCTGAAATCTCACAAATAAAGAACAACCCTTTCTGCATAGAAGTGGAGGTTAAAATCTAGGGAGAAGAAGGCAACATCTGGGTTGCTTTTATATATGCACGCACTGACAGGAGGAAGAGAGAAGAACAGTGGGAATATCTTGAGCAGACCAAAGAATCTTAGGGAGATAAGTGGATAATGGGTGGAGATTGGAATGAGATATGCTCAGGGGAAGAAAAGAGAGGTGGAAATACCAGAACAAATGCTAGTTGTCTGGCCTTTAACAGCTTCATAGCAAGAATGGGGATGCTTGAAATCTCTATGACCGGGAACCCCTTCACATGGGGGAACAACAGAGAGGGAGAAGGATACATAGAAGAAAAGCTTGATCGATTTTTTGGCTCTTTGGACTGGTTATCCTCATATCCTACTGCCAGAGTTGATAGCTGGTTCAGGAGCTCCTCAGATCACCTCATGCTCATTCTCAGCTCCAATCCAAATGGTGACATGAAGAAAAGAAGAAGATTAGATTTGATTCCAACTGGATTAAAAAAGAAGGGATTGGAGATGTTATCAAAGAAGCTTGGAACCAGCAGCAAGAAGGGACTCCTATGTTCAGAGTCCATGAAAAAATCAAAACCACAAGGCTAGCCTTGCTAATCTGGAACAGAGGCATCCACACAAATGCTGAGCATAAAATCAAGAGGCTATCTTCTCAACTGGAAGACATGAAAGATCTGGGTGGCAACAGGGATTGGATGGAATGGGACAAACTCAAAAAAGAGTTGGACAAAGCTTATGAACAAGAAGAAAGCTTTTGGAAACAAAGATCTAGAAATCAGTGGCTCAAGGAGGGAGACCGTAACACGAGATTTTTCCATGCTTTAACCCTGCAAAGAAGGAAAAAAAATGCAATTACCAGACTCATTGATAGAGAAGGAGAAGTCAGAGAATCCCAAGAGGAGATAACAGCCTGTGTTCTGGACTTCTACAAACTCTTTTTCACTTCCGAAGGCTCAGGGAGAGAGAACCTATTGCTTCCTCTTCTTCCTCAGGTCATCTCTGAAGAGGACAACAACAACCTTATTGCCAAAGTGGAGGAATCAGAAATCAAAGAAGCTCTATTCAGCCTCAACCCAGACAAATCTCCGGGTTCTGATGGTATGTCCCCAAAATTCTTTCAAACTTACTGGGACATCATTAAGCAAGATCTATGTGCAGCTGTTTTCAGCTTCTTTGAATCTGGTAGAATACTCAAAAACTGGAACCATACATTGATAACCTTAATCCCTAAATGCCTTAATCCCTCTGAGATGAGCAACTTCAGGCCAATTAGCCTTTGTGGTGTTACATACAAGATAATCTCCAAACTTCTTGCTAACAGACTGAAACCACTCCTTTGTAAATTCATCAACAACAGTCAGGTAGCTTTTGTCAAAGGGAGGCAGTTAATTGATAATGTGATTGTGGCTCAAGAGGCTATCCACTTCCTAAACAGGCACAGATCAGGAAATAAATTCTACATGGCTTTAAAGTTGGATATGATGAAGGCCTCTGATAGAATAGAGTGGAATAGCATCATTAAAATTCTTCTGAGCCTGGGTTTCCACTCTTCCTTTGTGCAATGGATTTTCTCATGCATCTCAACAGCTTCATTCTCATTCAATATCAATGGTGATATGTGTGGTTATCTGGAGCCTACAAGAGGAATAAGACAGGGGGATCCACATCCCCCTATCTTTTTATAATTGTCTCTGAAATGTTCTCAAGACTTATTGGCAATGAAGTCAGACAGTGGAACTTTAAAGGATTGAAACTTGTGAGGAATGGCACAAAGCTCACACATCTTCTATTTGCTGACGATTCTTTAATCCTCTGTGAAGCAACACATTCTCAAGCTGTTTGCCTTCTCCAAATACTTCCCAAGTATCAGCTGTTCACTGGTCAACGAGTCAACCTGGAGAAATCCACAACTTTTTTCAGCAGGAATACTCCTCCCTCAGAAAAGCAGATTATCTGCAACATTTTGCATGGCATTACAGTGCACAACTCATCAAGATATTTAGGCATGCCTCTGGGAATTAGCAGATCCAAGAAGGAATCCTTCATTTTTATTCTTGATGCACTCAAAGCTAAACTTATCAGCTGGAAAAACAAATACCTCTCTCCAGCTGGGAGAGAGGTCCTTATCAAATCAGTTTTGAATGCTATGCCAGTCTTCATTATGTCTTGCTTCTGCCTTCCTAAAAGCCTCTGTCAGGAGATATCAAAACTTTGTGCCAAGTT